TATTTCTATGTCCTATCTGCCTTTCTGCCAGACTGTTCCAGGGAGCGAGCCAGTCTATCTTCCAGAGTCAGCTCCAAGCACCGATAAGAGCCAAGCTTCCTGTTCCGTATCCCTTCCAGTCTTTCCGTGGCAGACTCTCTAGTATTGCCCTGACAAATGTTACAATTAGGAGTAAAATGTAAATATATTTAATTTCCCTTTTAACTCACAAATAATTACGACCAATCTGCAAGCTGCAAATGTGACAATGGCAGCTCTCCACTATTTAGAAGCAGATGTGAAGCTTTTTTTAGTGTGCAATGTTCCAGAGAACAGAGGCTAAGAAACTTTTTGGAGTTGGCTAATTATGAATTGGGAAGGTCACCATTTTTGCTTAAGGGGTCTCTCACATGGGGCGGACCCGTTTAGTGGATCCACTTGCTCAGCGGGGGATCCCTCTGTTGATCCCCGCTGAGCAAGCGAATGATAGGTCTGATTGCTCTCCTCAATAGGAAGGTCGGATGAAAACGGGCTGCCTGTCCATTTTCATCCAACCCGATCCGACGAACGGAAGAGGAATTGGATCCTCATCCATCCCTTTTTTGTGGGTCAGATTGGATTGGATGTCGTCAGGTGTAAATGGACATAGGTCCGTTTACACCCGCTACTCCATAGAGGAGGATGGAGGTTCTGATTGGGTCTGCCTGCTCGTTCTGAAAAATGGGCAGGCGGACCCGATCACAACGTCCATGTGAAAGAGGCCTAGCGTTTTGGAGTGCAACCCATTTGTCAAGCTATTTTTGAGGTTAAAGTTTATAAATATGGTGCAGGCCAATCCAAACACAACTGATGTCTTGGGTCAAAGGTGGAGATGGGTGAGGATTTTTAAAATCCACCCTGACATTGACTTTGTTATTCATTGTTTTTGCTGATTAACCTTGCAAGCTAATTAGGTAGTCTATCACTCCAGAGCAATGGTAATACAGCACATTTATTCGCAGGTAAAGGTGATTTTAGGTCCAGACACACCTGCCAGTCAAACCTGGCAAAAAAAGTAGCTGGTCTGCTGCAACTCCATTTTTTATGGAACCATAATCCAGCATCAGCTTATAGAAAGTGAAAACTGAGTCCCGTGAAGACTGAGATTGAGCAGTCACTTTTGCAGAAGTTGTTTTCCTATTTCGGGTCACAATCCTGCGCAATGTCCTTTTCTCTCTTTCGGTCAGTTGACCATGTCGACCACGCTTGTACTTATCAGATGGCTTTTTCCCAGAACTGTCATAAGCTTTGATACTGTACCTTGCAAAATGGTAAATAAATTGGCAGTTTCAGTCACAGAGGCACCAGCTAAACGGCACCAACAATTTGCCCCCTTTGAAGCTCAGTAAACTCTGACATGACTCCGCATAGCTAGCAGCGCACACAGTGAATGACGAAAGTGAGGCTTCCCTCCTGTTAGCTATGTGTCTCATCATACAGTGGAAGCAAAAGAATGTTACATCACCTCAATAATAATCCCCCCTATACCAAACTTTACACTTGGCACAATGCAGTCAATCCATCAGATTGCCAGACAGAGAAGTGTGATTCATCACTCCAGAGAACACGTCTCCACTGCTCTAGAGTCCAGTGGTGGCTTGCTTTACACCACTGCATCCGATGCTTTGCATTGCATTTGTGATGTACGGCTTGGATACAGCTGCTCGGTTATGGAAACCCATTCCATGAACAGGGGCGGACTGACCATTTGGAAACTCGGGCACTGCCCGAGGGCCCAGGGTCAGTATGGGGCCCCATGAGATGCCCCTGGTACCTTTTTCATAGGCTTTTTTGAGTTTGAGCAAGGACACAGGGGACCCATGATCCCCTATTGCCCAGGGGCCCCATGAGTTGTCAGTCCGCCCCTGTCCATGAAGCTCTCTACACACTGTTGTTGTGCTAATTTGAAGGCCACATGAAGTTTGGAGGTCTTTAGCTATTGACTCTTCAGACAGTTGGTGACTTCTGCACTCTGTACGCTTCAGCATGCACTGACCCCGCTCTGTCATTTTACGTGGCCTATCACTATTTGGCTGAGTTGCTGTTGTTCCCAGTTGCTTCCACATTGTTATAATACCACTAACAGCTTGACCGTGGATTATTTAGCAGCAAGGAAATTTTACGGATGGACTTATTGCACAGGTGACAACCTATCACGGGACCACGCTTGAATTCACTGAGCTCCTGAGAGCGCCCCATTCTTTCACCAATGTTTGTAGAAGCAGTCTGCATGCCTAGGGGCTTGATTTTATACACCTGTGGCCATGGAGGTGATTGGTACACCTCAATCCAATGATTTGGACGGGTGACCCATTACTTTTGGCAATATAGTATATATTTATACATATATATATATATATATATATATATATTTTTTTTTGTAATATTTTTTTTTGGGGGGGGGGGGTAGTTTTACACACACATACTGTATATGTGTGTTATACAATGTGCAATAAAAATATACTCTAGTTTTAATAAAATGTATTAAGCCTTTAAGTCCCACTGAATACCTTAGGCTAACATTTCTGTGTGTTATTTTTGGAAGCAAATAAGCAAACTTAATATTCTCTTTGTACATTTACATTTTAAATTTCTTGCCTTAAATTGACAAATATATTATATATGCCCTCAAAACCCAACTCCGGGCAACAAAAAAATTATCTGTTGCAGTGGGGCTGCACCCACATTGCAGGGGGTTAACTGCTTGTTTTGGTATAGAGGAACAAAAAAAGAAGACTTACCCAATAACCACTGCTCCCCACAACTAGATCAGCCCCTGAAGCCTCTTCTATTCTATGCCCTAGCGGTCCAGGACCCCTGACGTCATCAAGACCACAGCTGGGTCCATAGCCCTGCAGTGGATGTGTTGACACTGAGGGACACTGCACTGTCAGAGCATGAGGGAGCCCCATTTTCTGGGCGAAGAGGAGGATCAGGTAAGTAAAGGTGTTTCTCCTCCCCATTAGACATAACAAACTATTACCTCTTGTAGTGTTGGCTCAGCCCCGTGGCAAGGGATAATTTTACATTTTACAGAAGTCCAGCTCCATGTTGAGCAACACACCTCATTGTCTTTCCCCAGTTAAAATAAAAAAATTATTTGCAATCATGCCATTTTTGGAGGCGACCTTTGGCTGGTTGTGTAGCACCACTTGTCCTTCCTACCACTCAGACAGAGGCATGTAGGGCCAGGACAAGAAGTGGGCAGGAGAAGCACTCTGAAGCAAGGAAACAAAGGATGGATGCAGGGTGGTACACCCATTCTACAGCATGTATTAGCAGTAGGGTAGGGGGGCACCCTTCTGGATCCTTGCCCTGTGAGCTGGACAACCCTGTCCTGATACTGGTAACATGAATGCTACCCTCTGCAGCATTCTCCTGTGAGTGGTAACATACCTCCCAGGGTTGGTGTCCATGACACCTTTGGTTTAGAGGACATGGGTTGAGAAGCACTGGAGCCATTAAAAAATGAGGTTCAATGTAGGAAGATGTAATGTAATACATTTGAGGGCTAAAAATACAAATGGAAGTTAGATGATGAGGAAGCACCTCTGGGGGAATCAAAGATGGAAAAGGATCTTGGCGTCCTAGTCAATCCCAGACTCAACAACAGCATGCACTGCGAAGCTTGGTGAGAGGCCCTCAAATGTCAGAACTGGAGTGTGGGCAGCCAAAGCCCAATAGCATGCAGATTCTCTGGATGACCCAGCTACTGTAGGGAGCCACTCCTCAATTGCTAACAGTATAGTACCCTATTTCTAGTGGGGTGTCTCCACAGTGTCCTCAGACCTGGAATCCCTCCAGATGTTCACCTGTGTTACTGGAGCTACCCAGGACTTCACTGAGAGGAACACTGTTCATGAGGATAATCACTATTTGTGTTCTGAACTGTTTTACTGAAGTGTGGATTCTCAGCAGGACTCATTATTGTTATAGTCCTATGGACACCCCACCGTACAGCCACCTGGGTTTTTCTGGAAACCGCAACAATGCCCAATACATGGGCAGCACAGTGACTAAATGGTTAGCACTTCCATCTGGCAGTACTAGGGTCATTGGTTTAAAACCTAACCATGGCACCTTCTGCCTGGAGTTTGCACGTTCTCCCTGCGCATCTGTGGGTTTCCTCCGGGTACTCCGGTTTCCGCCCAAACTCCAAAGGCATGCTGGTAGGTTAATTGGATCCTGTCTAATTTTGCCCTAGTACATGAATATAAGTTCGGGACCTTAGATTGTACGCCCCTTGAGGGCAGGGACTGATGGGGGAATATGATCAACATGTATAATACATCAGTGGTTCATATAGTGTATGAGTGTACAGCTATTCACCATGAGTCATCACAGAGGACAAGGGGGCACTCTTTATGTCTGGAGGAACATTTATAGGTAAAGTTGATCAAGGGAATATCCGACTGCCTCTCGGGGGATCAGGAAGGAATTGTTTGCCCAGCAGGAGCAAATTGGATCATGCTTTGCTGGGTTTTTTTTGCCTTCCTTTGGATCAACTGTGGGTGTAGGATTATAACATTTTTTTTTTAATGGTTGAACTGGATGGACTTTGTCTTTTTTCAGCCAGACTAACTATGTAACTATGTGAATGTACAATATATATATGTATATCACTGCATAAATTGACAGCGATATGTAAGTACCTCAAATAAATAAAATAAGCTTGATTTTGTTTAATCGCTAGCCTGCAGGGCACTTACTACCCCCTTTCCTGCCCAGGCCAATTTTCAGCTTTCAGCGCTGTTGCACTTTGAATGGCAATTGCGCGGTCATGCAACACTGTACCCATATGAAATTTTTATCATTTTTTGTGACAGATAGAGCTTTATTTTGGTGGTATTTAATCACCACTGGGATTTTATTTTTTCTTAAACAAAACAAAAACCACAGAAAATTTTGGAAAAAAAAAAAAACGTTTTTTCTTAATTTTTGTTATAAAATTTTTGTAAATAAGTGATTTTTCTCTTTCACTGATGTACGCTAATGAGGCTGCACTGATGGGCACTGATAGGCTGCACTGATGGACACTGATAGGTGGCACTGATGGGCACTGGTGAGGAGGCACTGGTAGGTGGCACTGATGGGCACTGAAAGGCAGCACTCATGTATGTCACTGATAGGCAGCACTGATAGGTGGCACTGATAGGCAGCACTGATAGGTGGCACTGATAGGCAGCACTGACTGGCGCTGATAGGCAGCACTGACTGGCGCTGATAGGCGGCACTGATAGGCAGCACTGACAGGCACTGATAGGTAGCACTGATAGGGGGCACTGATAGGTGGCACTGATTGGCAGCACTGATAGGTGGCACTGACTGGCATTGATAGGTGGCACTGACTGGCACTGATGGGTGACACTGAAAGGCAGTTTAGATGGGCACTGATATGTAGCATTGATGTGGCACTGATGGGCACTGAAATATGGCACTGATGTGGCACTGATGGGCACTGGCAGGTGGCATGGATGAGCACTGAGAGCTGGCACTGATGGACACTGACAGGTGGCGCTGTTGGGGCTACACAGATCATCAGGGCACACTGATCATCAGTGCTCTGAGGATCTGTGTAGATGTCCCCTCCGAGGAATGACGATTACCGGCTCTCCTCTCCTCTCGAGCTGTCAGCGTAACAGCTCGTGGGGAGAGAAATGCCGATAACCGGCATTTACCTGTTTAGATGTCATCAGCTGTGATTGGATACAGCTGATCACATGACCGAGCCGACATCTTCGGCTCTTTCCGTGGATCGCTGCCGCGCATGCGCGGTTAGAATGGGAGGACGTCATATGACGTCCTCCCAGAACGAGAGAACTGCCTTGCGTCCGTCATTTTACTATAGTGCGGCAGGAGGCGGTTAAAGCCCACTTAAATTCCAGAAGCATCTGAAAAAAGGTGTGCAAAGTCTGACAGTTCATTTTCTTTAGAAAGCAGCCACAGCCTGAGTAGTCTACAAAGTCTCTCCCTGTCAGCATTGCTGTAGTAAAGAAATACCCTTGCTCAGAACTATAGCTCTGTAATTTGAAAAGCTCATGCTTCCTACTGACTGGAGAGCTCTAGTTCTGATTCAACAGGGTGCATGTGAGACCTCTGCAGACAGACCACTGCTTCCCCACTGAGAGCAAGATCCATCTTTGCAGCATGCTGGCAGGGGACAGGCTTTTCTTCAGGCTGTTGATCCCGGGAATATCCGATTGCCTCTCGGGGGATCAAGAAGGAATTTTTTCCCTGCAGGAGCAAATTGGATCATACTTTGCTGGGTTTGTTTTGCCTTCCTCTAGATCAACTGTGGGTATAGGATTATAACTTATTTATTTCAGGTACTTATATAGCACTGCCAATTTACGCAGCACTTTTACATATATATTGTACATTCACATCAGTCCCTAACCTTCAAGGGGCGTACAATCTAAGGTCCCTAACTCACATTCATACACACACATACTAGGGACAATTTAGACAGGAGCCAATTCACCTACCAGCATGTCTTTGGAGTGTGGGAGGAAACTGGAGTACACCACACAGGCACAGGGAGAACATGCAAATTCCAGGCAGGTGCTGCCATGGTTGGGATGTGAACCAATGACCCTAGTACTGCCAGGTGGAAGTGCTAACCATTTAGCCACTGTGCTGTGCAGTTTAAAGTAGACTTATTCGGGGAATGTAGACATACAGTCAGGGGCGGACTGACAACTCATGGGGCCCCTAGGCAATAGGGGATCATGGGGCCCCTGTGTCCTCGCCCACACTCAAAGCACACCCAAAAAGCCTATAAAAAAAGGTGCCAGGGGCATTTCATGGGGCCCCCTACTGACCCCGGGCCCTCGGGCAGTGCCCGAGTGTTTGAATGGTCAGTCCGCCCCTGCATACAGTATTTCCACAGCTAAGCTGATGAAGAACCTGACTTTTTATACAAATTCTAATGTGAAGCAATGCTGATCTATTCATATTTACATACTTTGCTTACATGTATCTTTTTTTTAACAAGGCTGTAGATCCTTTTAGGTGGATCATCCTGCCTTGTGTAGTATTAATATGTGGAGGGCCAACAGTAAATGACTGTACACAGCACATGGGAGAGTTTAGTAAAATTTGTTAGGCAGAATTCACATGGGCTTGGATACAAAAGTGCATCCGGCACCTGCGTAATTCTGGGCATCCTTCTTCTTGGCTTTGAAATGCTCTCCCATGGCTTGCAGCATCTGGCATGGTCCAGAGTGTGGGACAGATGCTGTTTCATGTGTAAGGAATGATTCCATTAAAGCAGTACTCTGGATAAACAGCTAAATACCCAGATAACTGACATATAAGTGTGTGTATAAGTTTTACTCTTACTCTCCTATGGTTGTGGACGTATAGGGCAATTAGATCCTTGTTAGGTTATACCTATTTATCCTTCAAAGCATTTAACAGGTAAAATTGCCCAAAGTTAACTTTAACCCAATGAATTATGATCTCTTCTTCATATCTTCTGTTAAACCTAATTAATTTCTTTTTTGTCTATCCTATTATGCCTAGATGATATTTGATGCCCATTATATCCTCTACAACTGTCCAGGGTGAGCCATCGTGTTCCATATATATATATATATATATATATATATATTGATTAAATACTCTGTATTGGATATGTTAAAGTTGTTTGGTAATTGTATAATTTTTCTAGACTGCTTCGGCGGTAGAATTTTCTTAAAAAAAATGTCCCCTGAAGAAGCCCGTGAGGGCGAAACATGTAGGGAGTAACTACACAACTACAATTACATAACCAAGTTTTATGATCTCAGTTTTACTCTTAGTACTGAAATTGTTTTTATGTTTCTGTATTTTTTTCCTTTTGTGTATTTTACAAAAATACGAAATAAAAATTATATAACTTTTTAATAATATGTTTTGTATTCATGTTCATGCACCCTGAAAGTCCCATCTACTCTATTGAATATAAGTTTTACATGTCAAAGGATATGTATTTCTTTTACACAACTTTGACACTCAGTTCTGTCTGCCGGGGGGAGAGGGGGCCTGATTTTTCTCTGCTGCAGTTAGAGTGGTTGTAAACCATTAGATAAACCCAGTGAAGTGACTGGTCTTTGGTGATACACAGAGATGAAACAAAGCCTCCTACATAAGTTGTACCTGCTTACCTATAGTTGTCTTTTTCCTACATCCATTCACAGTGAAGAATTTACATAGCATCTCTCAGCTCTGAAAAGCAGGGGCGGGGAGCAGAAGTTACACTCAGTAAAGAGAGCTCTGAAAGCTGATTGGTGGTAAGAGACACACCCCCTCCACACATCACACAGGAACAGAGTTGAGGCTGTCAATCTGCTGGAGGTCCCTCCCCTGTCACCATTTTTCTGTTGGTGTCAGGAAAACTTGTCAGAAGTGACTCATGCTTATAGCAAAAGAATGAGGCAGCAGACAGAAATGACATTGGATTGAGACAAGTGGATACTATAGAGGGATATGCTTTGTTCATACACTATATTGCCAAAAGTATTGAGACACTTGCCTTTACACGCACATGAATTTTAATGGAATCCCAGTCTTAGCCCGTAGGGCTCAATATTGAGTTGGCCCCGCCCTTTGCAGCCATTACGGCTTCAACTCTTCTGGGAAGGCTGTCCACAAGGTTTAGGAGTGTGTCTATGGGAAGGTTTGACCATTCTTCCAGAAGCGCATTTGTGAGGCCAGGCACTGATGTTGGATGAGAAGTCCTGGCTCACAGTCTCCGCTCTAATTCATCCCAAAGGTGTTCTATCAGGTTAAGGTCAGGATTCTGTGCAGGCCAGTCAAGTTCCTCCACCCCAAACTCGCTCATCCATGTCTTTATGGACCTTGCTTTGTGCACTGGTGCGCAGTCATGTTGGAACAGGAAGGGGTCATCCCCAAACTATTCCCACAAAGTTGGGAGCATGAAATTGTCCATAATGTTTTGGTATGCTGACGCCTTAAGAGTTGCCTTCCCTGGAACTAGGGGGCCAAACCACACCCTGAAAAACAACCCCACACCATAATCCCCCCTCCACCAAACTTCACACTTGGCACAATGCAGGCAGGCAAGTACCGTTCTCCTGGCAACCACCAAACCCAGACATGTCCATCAGATTGTCAGACAGAGAAGCGTGATTTGTCACTCCAGAGAATAAGTCTCCACTGCTCTAGATTACAGTGGCGGCATGCTTTACGCCACTGCATCCGACGCTTTGTATTGCATTTAGTGATGTAAGGCTTGGATGCAGCTGCTCGGCCATGGAAACCCATTCCATGAAGCTCTCTATGCACTGTTGTTGTGCTAATCTGAAGGCCACATGCAGTTTGGAGGTCTGACTCTTTAACTATTGACTCTGCAGACTGTTCTGTGCACTGTGCGCTCCAGCATGCGCTGACCCCGCTCTGTCATTTTATGTGGCCTACCACTTGGTGGCTGAGTTGCTGCTGTTCCCAGTTGCTTCCAATTTGGTATAATATTACTAACAGTTGACTGTTGAACATTTAGTAAAAAGGAAATTTCATGGATGGACTTATTGCCGAGGTGGCAACCTATCACAGTACCACGCTTGAATTCACTGAGCAGTCTGCATGCCTAGGTGATGATTTTATACACCTGTGGCCATAGAGGTGATGGGAACACCTGAATCCAATGATTTGGAGGGCTGGCCCAATACTTTTGGCAATATAGTGTATTTCATGTCTGAGGTTTACAACCACTTTAAATTATACCTACAGGTCTTGTCCATCCCCCAGCCTGTTAATGGACGGTGAACGAAAAGCAGCTAATCTCTCTGCCACTATGGTCTCTATCCCTATTAGGACTTTACTTGTTAGCACATGAGCACTGCAGCCCACCTGATTGGATTCCTGCTACTTCTCCCTCTCCCAGTCTAAACTCTGCTATATAGGCACTGCAAGAGGCTGATACCAGGTAAGATTCAAGCACTTAGGCCTCACTTACACTTCTGGTAGCCCTCTGAAGAGAGATCAACAGTGGAAAGCTTTTTACAGGGTGTTTGACAGGTAAAGAAGACATGTTATGTCACACCCTCACTGCCTTTTTAACCCGAAAAAAAAGGCTGCACCACTGCACTGCAACTGACGTTGCGGGGCTATTGCGGCACGTCCCCATTCTTTTGGGTAGTACCAGCCGTGGAATGTGAAGAGGGGATATTTTTTGCCACATCGTGATGCTTTGCATGGCAAATGTACACCCCTGTATGGCTGCCCTTGCAGCTGACGGGGGAGTAAATATGCAGCTCAACCACCTGTTTTTACCACCTCCCCAACAACAAGAATAAATGAGGCCAGGGGCGGACTGACCATAGGAGCACCCGGGCACTGCCCGAGGGCCCCGGGTCAGTAGGGGGCCCCATGAGATGCCCCTGGTACCTTTCATTGGCTTTTTCATAGGCTTTTTTTTGGGCACCCCATGATCCCCTATTGTCCAGGGGCCCCATGAGTTGTCAGTCCGCCCCTGGATGAGGCTTTACACTGCTTACATTTAAATCAACACTTAAGGCCCATTTAGACATGTCTATTCTTGTGTGTTGCATTGCTGCAAGCATTTTGTCACATATTAGGGCCCTTTCACACTGATCAGTTTTTGATGCACTTTTGTACTTATTGAACATACAAATCAAAACCCTTTGAATGATCTACCTAACAGACCAGAAAAAGAAAACAAGAGAAGTAATACAAAGAGAAAATATATTTTGTATTGACATGGTTATGTAGCACCTGACACGGTTGTTAACAGGATTGTCTCTCATTTTGCAGGCTTGGATTCGGACCACACAGAAAGCAGCATCCTGGCTGCCATAGGGATTTCTGTACAGGCCAGCCAGCTGTACAAGATGAATGCCAAGATGAAAATTAGAGCCTCCAGCAATTATTGTATGTCCTTTGAGTGACCGTAAATTCCCAGTTCTAATGAATATACCTTAAAGCAAACATGAATGGGCAAAGTGACAGGTTCTCTTGGCATGGTACCCCCATCCCCACTAATACTTACTTTTCTATGATGCCCAGCTGCTCTCATCTCCTGCTGGAGCCCTAGGAAGAACCTGGTACATCTACGATGCAGAGCAGATAGGCACTGACCCCCGGTTCACATCTATGCTGGTGGTGCCGCTGCGGATCCGCACGAAAATCCGTGCAGCCGCACCACCCGCACAGAGAATTGCGGATCCGCAGGTGGGTGCCATTACTTCTAATGGCACACCACTCGCACTGGGAAACGCAACCATACTGGAAACTGAGGTTCCCGTGCGGGCTATGTTTTCCAAAGTAGTGCAGGGACTTCTCCCCTGCATGTCACGGGCACAGTTGTCCATTCAAATGAATAGGCTCTTGTGCCCAAGCAAAACACAGCCTGCACGGCCGCATAGATGTGAACCTAGGGTACGTCTATGTATGCTGTGTAACGGGGTAGAATATCCACTCTTTAACCCATTCCTGCCCTTGGGTGGTTTACCTGACTAACAGATAGTAGGTGGCACTCTGCCAATTCTGTAGAGCAGGACTGTCTAACCTTTTGCTGTTCCTGGGCCAAAGTAGAAAAAGTGTATAGCACTACCCCCTTAGGAGTCGCTAGAAGATTTGGGTCCCCCTATAGTCCTGCACAACCAGGCATCACACATCTTTACAAGAGCTTGGAACCAGACTCAGAAATCACTCCTCATGCTTTGGTTTTGTGGTTTTATTTAGGGTATTTAAACTGGGATAGGGTTAGGGGTGTACAGGATGCCCAAGGGAACTGATGACTTGAGGACAACTTCCTGGAACTATTTACACATTTTCTCCACAACACAGTCTCAGTTGGAGAGCTAGCTAGCGTCTCCTTAGTGTACCACCCCAGACCCTACATGAATTTATCCTCCTCACCCAGCAACCTAGAAGTATCCCTGAACATGGGGATCCGGTTCCTGTCACTATAAGAGATGAACAGTCACTGGCAGGTGGCTAATCTGGTTTTCCATCAGAGTGCTCCTCCTTCTATCCACCCAGGGGGTGTAGGTGTACTCACTCAGATCCTTTCCTTTACTGCTTGTGGGTTGGTGACTGCTACCAGACCTATCAGCTGGGCCGTGCCTTCCCTGCCATAGAGGTGGTCCTCTCAGGGGGCTGGTGAGCTCTGAGCTTTCTTCCCTTCTAGCTCCAAGCTTGCAGGTAGGCCCCATTTACGAGTTATAACTGTGATCACAGAGGTGGAGCTTCCATTGCCTTTTCTGTTTGCAAATAATATGGTGATCTTCTGGATTCAAGCAATGCATACTAGACTACTGTATATACACTCGCCAGCCACTTTATTAGGTACACCTGTTCAATTGCTTGGTAACACAAATTGCTAATCAGGGCCTACATGCTCGGACCTCACCTCACCATTTTACTATTAATATATTTGAAGAATTTTTGGGGGTCTGTCTTGCTATCTTTTCCAATCTGTCGTTCGGTTTCAATTTTTGCGGCCTCGATTTCCTTTTTACATATTCTGTTATATTCTTTGTAATGTTTAAACGATGATAGCGTTCCTTCATTTTTATATTTAATAAAAGCTCTTTTCTTACTATTTATATATTTTTAATCTTTGGCCGTAAGCCACATAGGTTTGATTTTTAGCCTTTTAAACGTGTTGCCCATGGGAATATATTTTGCAGTGTTTTCACATACAGTCTTTTTGAAGAACTCCCATTTCTGTGTTGTGTACCAATATTCCCTCCCAGTCTTGGAGAGCAGCTCTCAGCCTTGAAAAATTAGCTCTCTTAAAGTTGAGCATTTTTATTTTTCCTGTATGTGCTTGTTATTTACAGCTAAATGAAATCATGTTATGGTCACTGCTACCCAGATGTTCTTTTATATGGACATTAGAAATAAGCTCTGCATGGTTTGAGATTACCAGGTCCAGCAGAGCATCATTCCTATTTGGGGCCTCTATGAACTGTACTATAAAATTGTCCTGTAGTAGGTTTATACATTTTTGCCCTTTAACTGTTCCTGCAGTGCCATTTCTCTAGTCAATTTCTGAGTAGTTAAAATCCCCCATTATTTTCAATGTCCCAGCCATTTCTATTTGTGTTAGGAGCTGAGTCTCCACCTCCTCATTAACACTGGGGGGCTTATAACAAACTCCAATGATTACCTTTGTAGTACGCACCCTCATGTGCAGTTCCATCCATAAGGCTTCAGCCTCATCACACTCTCCATCAACTAGGTCCTCTTTCACACTTGCTCTGAGATCACTTCTCACATAGAGACAGACACCACCACCTTTCCTTTTTAATCCTGTCTCTCTGAGAGAGAACATAGCCAGGAATATTAATGGCCCAGTCATTTGAAGAATGAAGCCAAGATTCAGCAATACCAATTAAATCATAGTTCTCTTCATGCACCAAAGCTTCCAACTCACCTATTTTGCTTGGCAGACTTCTGGCATTGGTGAACAAACACTTTAATTCAATGACACCTTGTGCATATGTATTTTTTTTATTTTTGTAGAAATGGTACCAATTCCACTGGTTGTTTGTAACATGGGAACCTTCTTATTACCTGCCATAGCCCTCCCCCCATCTTTCCCCATTCCACCCACCAATAAAGCCTGACCCTTGTCTGATCTGTCTGTCCACTTATAGTATAATTTTCCCTCCCCCCCTCGATCCTAGTTTAAATACTCCTCCAGCCGTCCTATAAACCTCTCCCCCAGCACAGCAGACTCCCTTCCATTTAGGTGCGAACCATCTCTAGCATACAGATTACTCTCCAATGAAAAGTCAACCCAGTTCTCTAATCTCCCCCTGTCTTTCCTGAGTTGCACATGGCACAAGTAATATTTCAGAGAATATCACCTTAGAGGTCCTTCCCTTCAACTTGCAGCCTAGTTTTTTAAATTGATTCTTAAGGAGCGTCCACTTTCCATGTATTCTGTCATTGGTTCTAACATGGACCAAGACAGCTGGGTCATACCCAGCCCTTTCCGGGAATTTATCAACCCGATCCACCACATGCCGAACCCTGGCGCCAGGGAGACAGCAAGCAAACCATTCGGTTGAGGAGATCCTGGCGACAAATTATTCTGTTAGTCCATCTGATTATAGAATCCCCCTATTACCACCAACTGTCTTGGCCTTCCTGCACTACCCCCTCACCACCCCTCCCAGATGGTCTGCCTTCCTGGCAGATTGTTCCCCGGCTCCTTCCCAGCTCACAGGCTGGCTGCTCTCTTTATTATGCGAGGGAGGACTACTGCAATACAAAAGTCTTGGGGGGGGGGGGGGGAAAGAACAGAAATAAATATATTTTATGGAATGTCACCATTTTATTCGCCCAGATGTTTCATTCATAGAAAAGACACCACGGCAGAGATGACAACACAGGTGTTTATGACTGGAGCATCATCACATTGCACTCTTCACCCTTCACTGGCCAAAAAAAGTGTTTGGCTAATTAATACACAGCGTGTGCCGTTATTAAGGCGTAGCATAATGTTTCGCAGGTGTTAATGTTTTCACCGGGCACAATTAGAAAGGACCAGATGGCATTGACAATTTTTTTTATTATTATTCTATTAGGTATAATAACTATAAAG